CAGCCATGTTCCCTCGCGAATTTGATGATTTTGAACAGTTCCGGCAAACCTATGGACCTGTAGACAAACTCGAAACTCGTGTATTCCTTGTGGGACCAAATGTCGCTGAGGAAGTTAATGTAAATTTTTGTTAAATTTTTCTAAAATTTTTTTAATTTAAAAAGGTTGAAATTGAAAAAGGAAAGAATTTAATAATTCAACATTTGGCAGAAGGCAAATTAAATTCAAAGGGAGAAAGGGAAACATTTTTCGAATTGAATGGGCAAATGCGTTCAATGTTTATTTTGGACCAGGAAGCATCCAAGGATATTGTTGTGAGGCCGAAAGCTATGCCTGGAATTAAAGGACAAATTGGTGCTCCGATGCCTGGAGATGTAAGGAGATTTTTTGTTATAAATTTTGGGGCTAAAAATCGTGTGAGGGGCGGGGTAAATTAATTCAGAGTATCGCTTATCCCTCATCCAATGGCCAACCAAAATTTAAAATGTTGGGGTTGTCCTAATTCAAAAATTTCTTTGAATCATGGATGTCAATGACTTTTTTCTTTTTATTAAAATTGAAATCTAAGTTTCTTAAAGTTCCGATTTCTAAAAACATTGAACCAGAAACTCTTCAAAAATTCAAAAAAAAAATTGTTTTTCAGATTCTGGAAGTAAAAATAAAGGTTGGCGACAAAGTTTCACCAAAACAAACACTTTTTGTGCTTTCAGCAATGAAAATGGTTTGTCTATAAATTTTTAATTAATTTTAAATTTAATTTTTCTAGGAAATGAGTGTTGATTCACCAATAGCGGGAACTGTAAAAGCAATACATTTAAACACTGGTGATAAAGTAGGACCTCAAGACCTGGTGATTGAAATAGAGCAACAGGAGTAAATATAATTAATTATATATAAACAAAACTAATTCAGATATATATTTATAAAAATTAAAAAATATTTTTATATAAAAAATATTTATTAGAATTACCTATATATGTTTATGGTTACCCGATAGATCTGCGGACGAGGGATTTTTCGGCTCGACGATTGTGGTTTATAATTTTGCCCGTTTTCATATAATTGAACGAAAGTTTAGATTTTTCGTTGAATTTTTGGCGAATAATCTCAATCATTTTAGGAAATGAGTGCGATCATCGAACGATAAAATCCCTGCTACGGACATAAACTTAAAAATCTCTAATTTTAATCTAATTCAGATATTTTCTAAATTTTATTCCCTATAAGAAAAATGACTAAAAATTTACAATAACTATTTTTTAAAAAGAAGAGTTACGAACATTTTAATTTTTGGGCTAGAAAATCTCTTAGAGAGTTAATTAACAAATAAAGGATAAATAATCCAAAGGGTTGATTAATTTAAAAAAAATAACAATTTTAAACCTAGCGTTTCTAACATTTTCTCTTCCCATTTTAAGATATAATTTTGACTTCCCATTCTTGAAATTTAGTTTTTGGCAGAATATGACTTGAAAAGAAATTTTTTCTTCAAAATATTTTTTCTAAAAAACAAACTGTGCAATAAGGGTAAGCAAAGGCGATGGAAGTGAACATTGTGGATAAGCACCCATAACATGTCCAATATCCAAATGTGTATATTTAATTGGGTGGGCAGAGTCTAAACCACATTCAGAAAGGCCAGAAGCACAAATTAAAAAAGCCGCTGGCCCTTGATGTCCACGAAGTGTTTGGACAGAAGGGCCAATGTCTGATTGTTTAAGTTGAGCTGTTTGAACATCAGAAGAGTGGAAAGAAAAGTCCTATAAAAATTAAAAGAATTTTTTAAAAATAATTTAAAAAAGATTTCCCGGACTAGGTATCGAACCCTCATCCCCAGCATCACAGAACCAGACTAACCCACTTGACTGCATGACCAACTATACCTTTAGCCCCCTCCCAGCCTAATTACTCTCAAAAATAAATTTCTCCCACCGTTTAATATTTATTTTTTACCTCACTAAAAAGTCTAGAAACTTCTACTGGCTGTCCAAACAAATCTCCCGTTTGTTTAAGTTGTTCAGCATAATTAACAGCTCTAGCAGGTCCATTATCCATAGCAGCTGAACAATGTCCGTAACTTAGAACTACATGGCCAGTTAATGTTGCAATACTCATTAGATGGGGATTACGAGCTTTTAAAGCCTGAAAATTTATTTTTATTTGAAAAATATTTGCGGATTAATTTTTGCAAATTACTAGTTCTTTCATTTCTGCCAAAGCATCCGCCATAGCCAATCTTCCTTCTGCATCTGTATTAGTAATTTGTATTGTTTTTCCACTTCTTGCCTTTAAAATTAAATTTAAAAAAATTTAATTGAAATTTATTTACAGTTATAATTTCATCAGTTGTAAAAGAATTAGATCCAATACTATTTCTACACATACACATACATCCAACTACTTTAATTCCTGTAGGTTTCAAAATATCCAAAGCACGGAAAAAACCTTTAAAAAGTAAAAAATGTTGAGGTTCTTTAATTATTGTTGGGGCTAAATGCCGAAAAATTGAGTAGGTTAAAAGAGTTGAAGGGAAGATTAAGACTAGAGACCGGGGTTGAGGATATTCAAGATTTTTCGATCTGATGGACGAGTATTTTCCCGGTCCGATCTCTATAATGGTTCATCTTCTATTTCTAAAATGGTCTATATTTGTTTAGAACAGTTCACGTTAATTTCGAAAATAATATTGAAAAAAAAAATAAAAATTTAAGGATTAAGTCCTCTAAAAAAATAAGTTAATTTATGGTCAGAAAAGTTCTCGCTAATTATGAGATATTGAAAAGGGACCCCGAACCCTTTGACAAAAATATATAATAAAAAAATTAAAAAAATATAAGAGCAAATTTAGTCAAATTAGAAAATTAATTTCTAATTAAAAAAAAACCTGCCAAAACAGCACTTCCATATTTATCACGAGACATTCCATACATTGAAGTACCCACTTTTAAATTTGCCCCGCCTGTATCTATTGTCACCCCTAAAATTTGTTTTTATTGTTAAATTTTATAAATAAATAACCTTTTCCAACAATAAACAAAGTTTCAGTAATTTCTCCTTCTCCAATATATTCTAACCAAATTAATCGGGCCTTTAAATTTAAAAATAAATTTTTCTAAAAAATTATAAAAAAAAATTATAAAAAAATTTTTTAAGCTTTAAAAAGCCATAAAATTAAATTTCTTCTCACTTACTCGATGTTCTTCAATATTATTAGCACTTCTAGAGACAGCAGCCATTAATGGATAATTTTTCAAAATTTCGTCTTTATTTTCAACAATATTTATTTTAATTGAAGAATCTTTAAATTCATTTAAAATGTATTCAACAACACGGGAAGGTGACATTCTTTGAGGATCCTGGAAAAAATTTTTAGTGAAAAATTAAAAATAAAAAGCAAAAAAAATAAAAATGCTAGAAAATCCGAAAATATGAAAAAATAAAACAAACGGCAAAACTGCCCTTCCTTATATTTATAAAAAAAGCAAAACTACCCCTCCCTATAATACATTTTATACGCATCCCAATATATATTTAAGGGAATACTCTAATTAAGGGGAAAATAAAAATGTAGTTGATTAGTTCCCAAAAGACTGGTAAATTTGTCAGGTATTAGTTAACTACTTGATAAGGCTCTTAGCCGATCGAATACTAGATCTAAGAATAATAGTGAAGTAATCTACCAATAAATTGGAATAAACATCAACTAATAAGCTATACCTTCCTTATTTTAATATTGAAAATTTATTAAATTTAAAAATTAAAAAAATCAAACCCCATCTCCAATATCTCTACACAAATTAAAAGAGCTTTGAATTCCTTGTAAAAAATCATCCAAAGACCCATGCGGTACAAAATTTTTAATTTTTTGGCATTTTGTTTTTAATTCCAAAATTCCAATTAAATCAGCCTTTTCAACAAAATTTTCAATTTTTTCTCGATTTAGAAGAGGTGTATATAATGAATGGAGAAAACCAATAGCAGAACATATTTGGGCTGCTGGAAAACGTTCAGTAGGTAAAGTTATTAGAAGTGGGGAACGAGCGCCAGTCATTAAAAATCTGAAAAAAGACAAATTTTGAGTATTTTTTCAAATAAAATAATGAGAAAATCTGACATAAAAATATCATAAAAGAATTCATAAATACTTAGAAAATCTAAAAAAAATTTTAATTTATGCATAAAAGCATTAATCAAAAAACCCCGCCGAAAAGAACCGAACTTCCGTTAAACTAGGTACAACCAACACCTTTCACACTTAACCAAACCTCTATTGTGAAGTATATTAAAAACAAAGTTTAAAAATATAATAGAAGGAATAAACTTAAAACTTTCCCCAACGATTCTTTTAAAAAATTTCATATTATATTTTATTTTAAAATGCGTTTAAAACCTTTTTCCCGCTGCAATCCCAGCTTTTATATATTTCCTAACATCATCAAAATCTCCATGAATAGAGCCTGTACTTGAATAAATTAGGCGTTTTGCTGGAATCTTTTCTGTTGGAATAAGCCAATCATTTCCGTCATCTAATGAACAACAAATCTGAATTTTTTTGGGAAAATATAATTACTTAAAAAATTAAAAAAAAAACCTTAGAAAAGTTTTCTACAGCTAAGCGTACTTCATTGTATTTATCTTCCAACAAAGACAACGATTTAACTCCATCAGAGACTAGAATAATAACATCAAAAATGGTTTCGTTTACCACATTGGCTGACACGAGTTGAATCATAATAAAACAAAGAATTTAAGTAAAAAAGAAGAAGAACGAATAAACACCCATGCAAAGTGTCCGAGACCTATTTGACAACATGGAAAACGAAAATTTACACTTTGAAATTTAATTCAAAAAATAAACACGAAACGTCGAAAAGTTAAAATAACAAACAGTGGCATGACTTTTCGTCAATAGAATTTCCGTCAACGGACTTTTCGTCAATGAATTTGATAGCCCATCTGCTTCACTGCATTCAGTTTATTCATTTTAGTTTTAAAATTCTATTTTAGACTTTATTCTGGTTTTCTTAAAAAATAATTACAGATTAGTTAAAATGAGTTTACTTTTTAGATGTTTCAAGAGTTTGGCTTTAAGAAATTTGTAATTTGTTTTCTTTAAACTTAAATTTTTTTGTTTTTAAAGTTGCACTGTTCCGCCTGTTATGTCTTTCCCAACGCCCAGAATCGGATTAGAATTGGGTCTAACAGACTGCCGAGTGGCCGTTTTCAATGATAGAAAAGCCGAAGTTTTATCTTAAATTTTTGTTTTGATTAAATTTAAAAATTAGGTGATCAAGGATGGTTCGAAGACTAAAACTATTCCGTCTGTGGTTGCTTTTGCAAAAGGCGATGACATTATTATTGGTGATGCGGCAATTCGACACAAAAACTCTAAGAATATTTTTTTTATGATGGAGCTGTTAATTGGAAAAAAATTTGATGACCCGATTGTTCAGATTATAAGGTAATCGTTTAGCTTGTAATGAGTTGCTTCTATATTTAGGGAAAATGTCAAATACAACATTTTTGAAGATTCTAATGGCGATGCGGGGATTAAAGCAGCAAATGGCAAAATTTATTCACCCAGAAAAATTTGTTCTTTGATTTTACAAAAGATGAGTGATATGGCAGAAGATTATTTGAAAACGTGTGATTTGGAGACGGTCATTACCGTACCTTCTTACTTCAGTGCCGGTCAGCGTACACAAATTGAATGGGCGGCCGAAATGGCACATATAAAAATCGTCAAAATAGTTAGTGAACACGAAGCAGCAGCTTTTCCCAAGTTCTCTATGTCTTCTAAGGGATTTACGTTTGTGATTTTAATTTTTATTTTATAAAATGATTTTTAGCTTGGCTGTCTGTGGCATGGAATTGGGAATTTTAAGTATTTCAATTTTGGCATTGCAGAATGGTCTCTTTGAAGTTAAATTTACTTCTAGCATTAATTTGATTGACAACACAGCCTTCAAAAAATTTCCTCACTTCAAAAAACCAAATAGACATTTAACTGAATCCCACATTGATAAAATAATGTCCTTGTATGCGAAAGCTTTAATTGATGCGAAGATGGACAAGGAAGAAATAGACGATGTTATGCTTATTGGAACTTTGGCATCTGATCATAAGGTTTTTTGGTACTATGCGTTTATATCCCCGCAATTCTGCAAATGTTTGTCCGCACTTTTTTCATTCTTTCTTTTCAAAAAGGATTAGAAACGGTCAACTTAACGTCCATTTTTTCTTAGCCTTCTTTCTCCTCTCACAAAGATTAAAATGTTCAAGTAAAAATAAAGGAAGACAAATTTTCGCTTATAGAAAAATATAAAGGTAAAAATAAGGGAATGTTTAGAAATTATTTCGGTAATAGTTTGTTTGGTACCACCCCCCCCCCCCATTATTCTGATTTGATTGGACCGAAATACGGGCCTATGAACATTTCGAATTTTGTACAAACAAATACTCATTTGAAGCAGTTAGACGAAATGAGTCAAATGACATCAAAATCATCGTGATTGAACAAGATTGGACATAGTTACGATACAAGTTACGATAATTGCTCGATGGTTTTTGACCATTCTGAGCCATATATCTCGGTCCACAGGCATTTACGGGAAAAAGAGTGGTACCATTCGCCTATATTTTTCGCCTATATAAAATTTGTCTTCCTTTATTTTTACTTGAACATTTTAATCTTTGTGAGAGGAGAAAGAAGGCGAAGAAAAAATGGACGTTAAGTTGACCGTTTCTAATCCTTTTTGAGGAGAAAGAATGAAAAAAAGTGCGGACAAACATTTGCAGAATTGCGGGGATATAAACGCATAGTACCGGTTTTTTTAAATTAATGCTTAGTTTCTTAATCAATGAGATTTGCCTAAATCCCGGTATTTATAAACTTTTTTCTTTCAAATAGTTTCGACAAAAAATGGCAGACACAATGTTTGGACGAAAGCCGGTGATTGCAAAGGCTGATGATATCTCAATTGGCGCTGCTATGATATGTGACATATTGGCTTTGCGGGTTTGTTTTTGATTTCTCGATTTTTTAACATATAGAATGTTCTTGAAAATTGATTCAAGAATACATTCTTTTTATAATATTTTGATTATTAAATTTATTTTTAGTTTCCAAGTAAAGATTATAATGTTGAGAGATTCTTGAAAGAAGCAAAAGCTAACCTTGTGCTTGAAGTTCCAGATACTGTCTACGTTTGCGATGATGTTTTTAATCGTTTAAAACAACTTTGATTTAAATTTTTCAGGTTTGGAAGACTGTCCATCACACCATCAGATTGTTATTTGCCAAGATTGGCATTTTTGTAGCCACTCTTAAGGCTACCAAGATTCTACTTTTCTACGCTTCCAATTTTGCTCCCGCAGTTAACACAAAAATACTGATAAGACTTGTCTACGACTCTTCAAAAGAGTTAGTTTTGATCTTAAATAACTTTTGAGTTAAGGCCTATTCCGACTTACGCTTTTTGCCCTGAAGAACATTCTTCATAAAAAAGTTTTCTAATTTTGATTAGCATAACTTGTAATACTTCTTTTCGTTTCTAAGTAAATAAATCACTCTTCGGTATTACCCTGATTGTATGTCCATTTTCTTTCCAATTTTTATACTTAACTTGTTTTTAGTTCTCATCATTATGGTTTCAATAGTGGCCTTCCTAATTATGTTATAGCGAATTATTTTGAAACAATCAACGTTTTATTGTTGGACATTCGAAGCTTGGACCACAACGAAGTTCGTAAAGGCCTTGAAGTTTTTTTAAAAGATGTAGATAGATATGGGAAAAGAAAGATCAAGGCGAAAGACCTGAAGATACCCAAGATGGAAGTACTTTTTAAGGATTTGAATCGAAGTATTAATGGCGAGGTAAAGAAGGAAGAACAGAAGAAATTGGGTGAATCCAAATCGGAAGAAATTCAATTTTTGAAATGTGTGAACGTCACGAATGATAAGAAGGAAGAAAGTTCATTCAAATTGGTAAAGATTCCACACTTTCATCAAATTATTAATGGAGTTACTTATAAATATATCTATATTGCCATGTAAATCTTGATTCTTATTATGATTCTTATTTATTTATTGTTCGCATAGAACCTCGGACTTTTTTTTCTCATTTGCTTTAAAATTAAAATAAATTTTAAACACTTTTCTTTTAACCTTAATTGGAGTTTTTGATTCTCCACATTTATTTGTGATCGTGATTTTTGTGAGTCAGTGGCTAAATTCACTCAATATAAATTATGAATGTGTGCATCTAAAAAAGATTTATGATTTTACTTTTAGAGCATTTTACATCCCTTTTAGAAGCTTAGCGTTTGAATTCTCTCGGATCTTTTCCCTCAAAGTTATTCGAATAATAATGGCTGATCTGCAAAGAGATCTTTTTGTTTAAAACTTTTCCTTCTCGTATTCTTTTTATCGATTTTTAAGTTATGCGCCCATTTAATGTTTGTACAAAGAATAATTGTTTGTACAATTTTAATTCGGAATTTTATTTAAAAAGTTTTTGTATTTTACTAGATAAGTTAAAATTAGTATTTCTACATAATTGAAGAGAAATGTCAGAATTGGTTTGTTTTTGATAAAAGCCACAGAAATCTTTATTTTTGTTTTCAGCTTCAAGGAATTGCCAGTCTTACAAAAAGTGTACAACAAACCCTCAACAGCTATGAAGTGCGCAAATTGGGCGATAAAGTGTAAGAGATTGATGTTTTTTGCTACTAAAAAGAATTTTACTTAAAGTCAAGGTTATGTTATGAATTTTACTGAAACTGAGCAGAAAGTTCGTGAGGCTACTAATGAAGATCCTTGGGGTATTTTTTTTTAATTTTTTTAAAAATAAAATTGTGTTTTTAAAGGACCAACAGGACCGGAAATGCAAGAAATTGCGAGTTTAACCTTTCAGTATGACCAATTTACTGAGGTTATGGGAATGTTGTGGAAGCGTTTGTTACAGGTTTTTTTGATAGATAGTTTATGTAGAAAATATTTTTATAGGATAATAAAATGGCTTGGAGACGTGTTTACAAGGTTTTTTTTGAGTTTCTTGGAATTTAACTTGAAAATATATTTCTAGTCTTTAATATTGCTCAATTATTTGCTCAAAAATGGAAGCGAACGAGTTATTTCTACAGCACGTGATCATTCTTTTGAAATGCGGGCTTTGGAAAGTTACAAATGTGTTGATGAAAGAGGAAAAGATGAAGGGGCAAATGGTATTCTTTTTTAGATAAAAATTTATTAGCTAGAGATTGTACATTGGGGGGCTTTTCCAGGACTTCCGTCTTTTGCTTGGTAGAGATTGAGCCGCGAGCTAAGGTTTTGGTGTTTTGCTGAATATATACCTAACAGGGATCTAGCCAACCCGATTCCCGAAAATCGGGTCCCTGATACCTAAGCATTTTTAAACTTCCTGGAGTTTCTTTGACTCTATCCGACAGGCTAAGAAATCATTGTCCCAGACTTATTGTTAGAAATATTTATTCTGTGAAATATGACTTTTTGTGAAGTCCTGTTTCTTATGTTAGTCTATTAAATCCCCCATTCTCCTACTTGTTATTCGTTTCTATTTGAGAACTAACTAGATATTTGTATATCCATTTTATCTCAATTAAAAACTTTTTCAGTTCGTCATCGTGTCAAATTAATTTTGGAATTATTAAATGATGATGAATTGTTGAGAAATGAGCGTCGTAAAGCAAAAGCTGATGGGAGAGAGAAATACCAAGGATTTTCAAAGGATGATATGTTATATAGAGGAGGCTCTAATTCCTCAAAATTCGATTCTTTTGAACGCTGGAATGAAAAGAAAGTTGAAAAAGATGAACAAGAAGAGAAACAAAAAGAATGGAAGTCAACTTCTCGTAGCGGTTCTAATAGTGCCCGAAGGGAAGTTACAGCCTTTGATTTTGATACAGCGGATAATTCGCGTTCAAGAGCAAGTGGTTCTCCGGAATTGGGAATTAGAGAGGTTTTTTTTAATTTTTTATTGTCCGTCCTTGATTTTAGTTAAACTCTTTTGCCGAGTAATAGGTCATTTACAATATTTTCCTGTTTCTCCCGTGGTTTGTAGGACCGTCGTCTGGGGCCCCCTCTTCCTAAATCGGCCCCTTGGCTATGCCATTGTTGAATGCTATTAAAAATATCGATTTTGTAGAGACCTTGTTCCCTTGTTAAATTTGATTTAATTATGGTCACACATATTTTCTGTACCTTCAACTAATCTTGAGAAACTAGGAAATCTCTTCTAACTCCGATCCTTACTTTTCTTAAGTTTTTAATATTTTTAGAGAACACCAGAACCTCAAGATGAGGCAGAAGATGAAGAATTTGGTGATTTTACATCTGCTAGAGCTGCTGCCCCAACAAATGGGAAACAAACAATTCCAACATTTTCGTCTTCAAAAAATATTTCTTTGGCTAATTCAAAACCTGTTGGTGGCGGTGGTGGAGGTGGAGGAGATGTTGATCTTTTAGGTTTGGATTTAATTGGAGATGTTCCAACAACCAACAAACAAACAAAAATTCAACAAAATTTTGGAAATTTTGATCCTTTTTCTTCATCAAAAAATTTACCAGAATCTAACATAATATTTATTGAACGTCCAAAGTCTCAACAACAACAACAGTCAATATCTCCAATAGCTCCACAAAATGTGAATACTACTAATTTTGTTCAATCAACACCTTCAATTCCTTCTGCTGCTCCAGAACTTTTGGATTTGTTTTCGGCTCCAACACAGCCAATAATACAAAATGGTAAAACTTTTTTTTATTAAATAAATTTAGACGACCAATAAATCAAAAATCTTTACAAAAGGCTAACCTTTTCCTTTTTTGTTCATAAAACATGTTTATGTCCACACGAATTTTTTTGATAGTTTTGTGGGTAAGTTCACGTTCACACACATGTAGTTATTCTTTTCAAGCCATCTCGGTATTATTTTTATGATACACCTCTATAGTTGAGTCTCGATATAATTGTCTATTCAGCTTGATTAACTGTTTGAAATAGCGAAGTTCACGTCGGATTTTTCCCTTTTTTCACTGGTCCTTTGAAGTTTCGTGCAATTTATTTTTTTATGCTTGCGACTTATTTATTATAACTTTCAGAAATTTCGAAGAAAAGGGTAAGGAATGCTCCAGACACAGTGGGCTTAGGTCCTGATAAGAAATGTTTTAAAACCAAAAAATTTAACCCCAACTTTGCAATATCATGAAAAGTACAATTTTTTATGATTGGACGCATAAACTAGACCAGCGCCAATAAAAGTTTACTTTTTCCTTGCCCCCGTTATTTTTTATATTTTATCTAAAAATTATTTTTTTACAGAATTTATGCCACCGGCTATACAAAATCCAACATTAACGCCAACTAATCAAATTGACAATCTTCTAAATTCTGTTCAAATTCCACAGCAAGAAGCTTTTTTTAATATTTCTTCTCTAGCTACTGCTCAACTAACAACAACAACAACTAACTCAACAACTATAAAAAATCAGCCAAAATTGCCAAAAACATGGGAGGATTTTAAAGGAAAGTAAGGGAAAAATGAATTTTTTGAAAATTTTTTGAATTTTAAAATTTTCTAGGGTAAATATAGATTTTGATAATCTTTCGCTCAAATCGCCTGTAAAAGCGACTCCAACATTGAATGAGCTCAAAAAATCTTCTTCTGGAGGACAAAATATTTCTTCGTCTTCAGGTTTTTTTTTGATTCTTTTTTAATTAAAAAAATTATTTTTAAGGACTTGGACAGTGGCAGTAAATTTGAGAAGAAGAAAAATTTTTTTTGTAATCAATGGATTTGGAATTGGAAACAAATTAATGGTTTATTTTTTGGGGTAAATAGAAATAAAAAATTAAAAGGAGGGGGATTTGCGGATAGTTTAGGTTATATTCTCGGTTTCTTGGCTTTATAGCTTTTTCTGTTTGAGAGAAAAATTAATTTTGGAATCTGTCCGCAAATCTCTCTCTTAAAGTTAGTAACTTCTATCAAAAAATTTTATTAAAAATAATTTTCTCTTTCAACCAAAAAATTTAGGGGCTTTTGTCCGGATTATGCAGGGTTTCGATCTCGAATTTTTAAAAATCCGCAAAATTGATCGAAAAAATCCGCATTTTATATCAAAAATCCGCAAGAAATTATCAAACACAAAAATTGAACTAAAATCACTTTATGCTAGAGATCGGACCGTACCGTACTACGGCCGTATTTTTCGGTATTTATCGGTATTCCGTATCGGTAGTACGGTACGGAACAAAATTCCGATCTCTACTTTATGCATTGTATTTTTCGTCTTCTACAATTAAATTAAGCAATTTTTTTATTACTAATGATCATCTTATGAAAATCCGACAACTACATTCTGAAAAATTACACTTGCATTTTTGTCGAGGAAGATGTCGCAAATTTTTATTTCTTCCATTTTCAGCGCCGCAGGCGAAAATTTTTTTAATTTTGGAAGATCCTTAAGCCAAAAATCGTTCATTTTCAGGCCAGGCAAAAAATTTTGAGGATTTTGAAGATCAAGGACACTTCCTTTTCTGCGCCGCAGGCGGAAATTTTGAGAATTTTGGAAGGCCAAGAAGCCAGATTTCACCATTTTCAGCGCCGCATGCGAAAATTTTGAGGATTTTAGAAAGTCTTAGCGGAAAAATAATGACATTTTTGCTAAAAACCACAAAAAAATATAAAAAATCCTCATAATCTTCAAAAGGCCACAAAAATCCGCAAATCCGCATTTTAAAAAATAATCCTCATCGCTCTATCAAAAAACCACAAAATGAGGAAAAATCCGCAGATATCGAAACCCTGGGATTATGCGTCCAATCAATTAAACAAACAACCTTTTTATAAGTCCAATATACGGTGATAAGTACTCAGCTTTGCGTGCTAACAACGCAGAAATGAGTATTTATTGCCAGTAATTTATGCATAAAAATGTGATTGGACTATGTATATAAACTTTTCGTTGGACGTATAAAGGGGTAAATGTCCTGTTGGTGTCCTACCTGTTCGCAAAAAGAATGCTTATCTTTCCTTCCTTTTCTTGCATTTTTTCTCAAGTTGAAGACAGGTAGGACACCAACCTGACATTTTTATGGTATATTTTTGGGGTAAATTTGGGGTAATTATTTTTCTATAAAAGTGTCATTGGACGCCTAATCTGGACAAAAACCAAAAAATTTATTAATTTCGGGAAAATATATGGTTTCCCTTTTTTAAACAATATTTGCATACTATTTTTCTAAAAATGTGAATTTTCTTCTTTTTGCACTAATTTTCCTCATAATTTTTTCTGTTATTTTAAAAAAAAAATGGGTTATTTAGGTGGTAGATTTTATTTAATTTTCTCTTTTTTCTATCAACCAAATAAAAAAACACATCCAATTAATTTGTCAGTACCTTTTCTATTTTTCCACTGTGATATATTTGTTGGGAAGGAAAGCGCACTCAAAAAAAAAGTTTTTTTTTGAGGAAATTTTTAAGATTTAAATTTTTGGGTGCGCAATTGTTTTTCTTTTTCGATTTTTTAAAAAAATTTTCCCTTTCTTTTCATAGCACAAAAATAAACTTTTTTTGCTGGTCTTGATTTTGTTTTAATTTTTTAAAATAAGAAAGTTATTTTTAAAAATGTAGGCATAAATCCTATTCGTAGCGCCGTAATACCAAACTATGTTAACTATACCTCCTGTGTTCTAACATTAATATGTTGTTTCAACAACAGGTGAGGTTGTCAACAATTTGGTATTTATTTTGTCTTTCAGCGTTTGGTATTATGGCTTTATACCATCCTAAAGAAATTAGGTTTTCCCCATTTCTAATAGGAGGAGGGGTCGGGGGAGGATGCAATTTTTCCTTTTAGTTGGATTTTTCTCGTTACTTACTCTATCATAGTGAGGAGACCTAGGTAGAGAGAATTTAAAATAAAAAATAAAACATTTTTAAATAATTTTTTACTTTAAACCAAAAAATTTAAAAAAAAATCAAAATTAACAATAGAGAGAAGATACTAAAATTAAAAAAGAAACAAAAATTGAAGGTTTAATTGTGTGTTAATACAAAGAAAATAAAATTGTTTTAACGAATTCTTTTAGTTCTCTAAAATGTTTAAAAAAATTCAACAAAAATTTTTTAATATTTTTTTTGGAATGTAAAAATATTTTAAATAGAAGAGAGAGAACATTTTTGAAAAAGTTATGGGAGAAAATTAAAAAAAAATTTTTTCCTTCTCTTAATTTTCAGAAAATATCCAAAAAAATAAATTTCCAAACCTTTTTTAAAATTTTTTTTCAAGTTCTTTTTTCTTCCACAGGAATAGGCTTGTAACCAATTCCGCCATTTTTCTCTTTTTCTTTTTGATGATTTTTTCGACTATCGAGAGCGTCTAGCAAAAGGGCTGCGAACACTAAAATTGTTCCTAAAATGTGTCTGTTTGTGTATGGATGGGAGAAAAGAAGAATTGAGAAGACTAGACTGAATAACTAAAAAGGAAATTTTTTTTTGATTTTTTAAAGAAACTTTTGGCTCTCTTTTACAGTTTATGCGCCCCATAGGAATTGACTTTGGACTCGAGTTCGGCAAATAAATTTTTCCGGTACCGAACAAGTACTGAAAAGTGGCGGTGAGCAAGTAAAGAAAATTCCAAAAATCTCATCAGTACGATTCTGGTATCGTCCCGATTCAGTGTGCCGAAGACGACCTAGAGCCGTTGGCTTGCTCATAAATTTTGACTAAAGGATGTCAAGTCAACCTCAAAAAAATTCTAAGGAACCCAAGGCCAACTTAGAAAAAAAGGGACACATAAACTGTAAAAGAGCCAAACTTTTTTTTTATACTTTTCGTAATGTTGTAACAATAGAACAAGTAAGAGGGCCAAAATCCGTGACTGTTTTGAAGATGAAACACTTGAAATAAATTAAATTTAGAAAATTTTTTTGATTCAAAAAAACCTGTCCAACAGCCCCCGACACAGAAAACAATAAAATTTCCCTTAAAGCTCCAGGATAGGCAACAAGAAAATTGAAAAAAGCAATTAATTCTCCAGAGACTACCAACATTAAAGAAAGAAATGCTGAAGAAAAGGCATTCATCGAGAACATCATTGCCCATTTATCGGTTGTGTAGTAATGACGAATTCGATCTTTAAATTTAATTTGATTAAAAAATTTAAATTAAATGAAAATTTTGTTAAATAATTTAAAAAAATAATTTATATATAAAAAAGGAATGTAGAAAGGGTTAGGGACCCGAGAGGGTTCGAACCTTTACCATTCCAAACGGAAACTCTAACACACTTGCACTTAACTAAGGGTACACAGTGAGGGATAAGTGTTTCTAGGGTGGAGAAAATTAAGAAAAAACATTATTTTGTGTAAGAAAAAAATTCAAAAAAATTTTTTTTAATTTTATTTAAAAAAAAAATTATTTGTCTACTAAAATATTGTTTTTTCTTCCTTATTCTATTTAAAATAAAATTCAAAAGAAAACCTTGCACAGCCCCAGTAACTCCATCCATAGCCAAAGATGCACACAAAAGTAATTCTCCTGCTCCAAATTCAAAATGTTTTACTTGTTTTCCAGGTTTATACAAAAATATAGCCATTCCAATAACTATTAATAAAACATAAAAATATTTTCGAAGAGGGTAGCGTTTATGAGCAAAGAAAACACCAAAAAGCATTATTGGAATTGGTTTACAAGATTTTCCGAGAATCTGAAAAAATTTTTTGAAATAAAATTAGTAAAAAAAAGGAAAAATTTTTGATTAAAAACAATAAAATAGACAAAAGAAAGTGTTTGGCTCGGAAGGGTTCGAACCCTGACGAGAAAAAAGTGTAGGCAGAAATGATACCACTACACCACAAAAATCTTGAGAGGAAAAATTAAATTTTCTTTTATAAAGAAATAAAAGAACAGGCTTTTTTGTTAGTTAAAGGAACACTTGCAATTGAAAAACGGAAAGTATAAAATTCGAAAAAAATTTCAAGTGCCCACTCCTTAATAGAATAAAAATAAAAAAATAATCTAAAAACCTGTGTTGGATAATTAACCCATTCCAAAGCCATATTGCTAAAAAGCATTGCCAAAAAATAGGAAATAGAGCAAATTGAATACATAAAAGAAGGCACATTATCTCTAATAATTGCTGTTTTTGTTCCATTATTTTTCACTATTGTAGCTAATAATAAATTACAAATACATTGAAAAAATACTAGTGCTTGCATATAAATAAATTTTTCGTTCTTTTCTCCGTAAGTTTTTATTGTACTGAAAAAATTTTTTTTTGAATTTTTGAGGAAATTCTTAGGGGAGAGAGGGGGGGTATATCAGAAAGAAACCCAGAAACCCTCTACTCTTCTTATAAATACATTTTGGGCCCCATAACTTTTAAATAATGTGGAGAGGATTGGGAAGGATTTGAAAAAAGTCAAAAAGTAAATGTAAAAAATAAGAGAGGGATCCTTTTAGCTAGGGAAAAAATATAAAAAAATTAAAGCAAAAACAGGACAAGAATTAGGGCAAAATTTTTTAGGGGAAAAATTTTTTAAAATTAAAAAACCTTAAAAGAAAACAAACATTTTTTCTTGAAAAAAGCTAAAGGCCCCATAACAAACAATTATACCACCAGCACAAAAAGCTAAATTTAAAGCACGTTGAGTCCATCCCTGTTGTGAGGCTCGATGAAGAGTACTTCCACTAACCATTTTGCTGTTTAAAGAAATAAATGGTTAAAATTAGCCTTGAAAAATTTAAAATAAATTATTTGACAGATTTGAGGAACTAAAGAAAAAAGAAAAGAAAAGAATTTATTCGATAAGCTGACGTCGAGTGTGGCTTAAAAATTGATTAGTTGACGTTTACTTTAATTCAAATTTTACTTTAAATTTAAAATTTTTGGCATTCTGTTTATTTTTGACTTTTTATCTTTTTTAATTAGAGATAATTGGAAAGTTAGAGAGTTTAGAGAATCAGAGAAAAAAATTAGTTTTTTAGAAATTGATAAAGGAATGAATGTTAGTTTCTGATAAACTTTTGTTATTTGATAAATAATATTTACGAAAATTATTCACGTTTTGTTGTCTTTTAATCCTTTTGTTTGTTGTTTTTGTTCTAGTAGAGGGGTTATTTCACTTTCCTTTAGCAAAACAATTTTAATCTCTTCCTCGTTAGTTGGTTTATGAGGGATTTCTTTAGACGTCATCCTTTTTTTCTTAAAATTTAGTTAATCCTTACTTTTAAATCTCAAAAAACAACTAAAAAAGGTTAATTTTTAATGACTCATTTAATTTCGTTATGCTCTCAACAACAAATTTTTTGCTTATTTTTCCCCCTTTCATACTTACACTATCGACGCATATTTTTTGTCTAGACTTTAATGAAGGTCATTTACTTAAAAAATAACTTTTTATTGACTGAAAGATTTGATAATTCTGAAGCTGGTCCCCCCATTTTTTCTTTTTTTTCCTTCCCTAAGATTGTACGTAATGGACAGATTTAGTTAAGATTATTTTTGTTTTATTTTAAATGCTTCCCTTCCCCCTTTCACTTCAAAAACTAATATTCCCTCAATCTGGGTAAATGTTTCCTTTTTATCCAACATTTCCCCAAAACATTTGAATTTATTCCCTCTATATTTTTTTATTAATCTTTTACTTAACCTTAATCAAAACTTTTGTACTTATTTAGATTAACCTTATTTACTTGCCGCGCTCTTTTATTAATTCTATAATTTCTCTCACTCGTTTTTACATTCTCTACCAAAATTTTTAAATTTTTAAAAATTTTTTTCAGAAAAATTTATCGTTTATTTTCTAATCGCTTATTTTTTCCTTTGTTTAAATTTTCCCGGAGAATGCATAATAACTGGATTGGGACTCACGATGGCAAATTTCATTGTGACGAAGTTTTTGCTTGTTATATGCTAAAGAAATTGCCTAATTTTGCTGACTATCAAATTGTTAGAAGCCGGGATCCAGCAATTTTGGGTTTGTTTTGATAAATATAAATTGCGGATTTGTCCGCAAAATATTTGCGGACATTTTGCCAAATATAAAAAAATTTTCTCTTTTCTTTTTTAGAGAAATGCGAAATTGTTGTGGATGTTGGAGGTGTTTATGATCATCGAACTAAGCGCTATGATCATCATCAACGGTTTTTACATATTTAATTTTATTTATTATTTTTGTTTTTTTAAAGGGACTTTAATGACACAATGAAGACTTTGACTGGACTTGACTTTGAGGTGAGGAAAATTTTTATTTTTCATTTTCTCTTTCTTGTTTTTAAAATTAAAAATTTAATTCCTCCTCCGAGGTCAATAAGTTTAAAATCCTCATTTTTGAATTTGCGGATTTATCCGCAAAACATTTGCGGATATTTTTCTAAATATTAAAAAAATTTTTAGACCAAATTGAGCTCTGCTGGTTTAATTTATGCGCATTATGGAAAGCAATTAATTGCTCATCTTACTGGAATTCAGGGCGAAGACAATCCAGATTTGTTACGTTTATATGAGCGTCTTTACAAAACTTTTGTTGAGTCAGTGGATGCTATTGATAATGGAATTGATCAGTATGAGGGAACTCCAAAGTAAAGTTTTTTATTAAATTATTTCTAGGGTTGGGGTCGGGTATAGGTGATTTAGGATTTGGCTAGCTGAGGGGCCAATCGCGTCATTTTGCCGAAGACTAGCTCGAAAGGCCCGATATCGTGTCCCAACTACTTATTTCCTTTTTTCTTTACATATTTTCAGAACTTGTTATGAGGTAAAAATAAAAGAAACGCTCCATTAAATATTATATTATTGTAGAGAATTACAAAACTATTGTATCTCGCCAAAATTTTGGCGTTTTCCTATCCTTTTACTCCCAATATTTTTCCCTTTTCCCCACTTCAGGGGGACTATGGGGAAAATAGCTACGCCCTTGCTAACTTAAGTAATCATAATTTATTTCTCAATTATTTCTCTTTAAAGATATCAATTGGCAAGCACATTAAACTCGCGTGTTCAAAGTTGCAATCCTGCTTGGAATGACCCAAACCCCGACCCAGATAAAAGTTTTTGTCGAGCTAGAGAAATTGTGGGCGAAGAATTTGAGGAGAAACTTGGTTATTTTTTGAATGCTTGGATGCCAGCGAGACATTTTGTTGAAGAAGCGATTAAAAATAGATTTGAGGTTTTTTTGAATTTTAAAAATTTGTATTAAAATTTTTTTCAATTTTAAGGTTCACGAATCTGGCAAAATTTTGTTTTTCGCTTCTGGACACATTCCTTGGAAAGAACACTTTTTCGAATTGGAGAAGGAAATGGAACTTGAAAATGAAAATATTTCTTTGGTTGTTTATAGTGATACTTCTGGAAAATGGAGAGTTCAAGCAATTCCAGTTTCTGAAATGAGTGGATTTGAAAATCGGTTTTGTTTTACATTTATTTAGAAATTTAAGGGGAAATCGTGACTTATTTTTCAGTAGGGATGGAGAACCCCCTATTAAATTAGTCTGTAAACTCCTTGTACGTAGCAGGGATGAGCGCAAGAGGCAATCGTGAAAAACGCAATGCGCTCACCGCTTTTAGGTGGTAATCGGCAACGCCTAGCAATAACTGTCAGAAGGTCGCAGGATCGATGTTTTCCCGTTGATAAACTTTTAACTTCGTTTGATCCTATAAATTTAATCTCTAACGAGAAGATTATTCCTTTTTAAATAATTTTGAAATTACAAAATTCCCTATTTTTAAAGAGTCAAAATTCCTTGGATGGGCTTTCGTGACCAAGAATTAGAAGAAAAATCGGGCATTCCTGGAGCTGGTTTTGTTCATATGACTGGATTTATTGGTGGAGCTAAAACTAAGGAAGGGGTATTGGCTATGGCTATTAAGACAATTGAACAGGGATGAGAGAAAATTGGAAAAATTAAATTTTTGACTTTTAATTTATTTGTTTTTTTTTTGGTTGTTTTTACTTAACACTAAGAAAAATATTTTTTTCTATTGAAAAAAAATTTAAGAAAAGTATTTATTGTTTTTCATTTTGATATGAAAATAAATTTAACTATTTTTTTGTTCTTTTTAGTGATGTGAAAAAAATTCATTTTTATTTACTTTGGTTTATTTCTTGTTTAAATTTTAATTTTGAATTTTTTTTATTTTTAGGTACTTTTATACTCGAACCTTTTAAAATTCCGTTAATTAAAAATATGGCTGACGATAATCAACAAATGGCAATGTCTGCTGTTCCTGCACATTATAATGTTGTAAGTGTGGAAAATTTAAATTTATAGTTGGTGAGGTTTGTTAGTTTATAAAAAATTTTCGGTATTTATTTCCTTCCTCCTCAGTCCGCGACTTACAAGGGAACATTCCGAACTACCACCAAAAATTTTGCAACGAAACATATACCATTGTGTAGAGCAGGGTCTATTATGGTGCCCGTTTTTTTTCAATTTTTCCTTCCATAATTTTAAAAGTTGCCAGTTTGGAGATTTTTTGGTTTTGTTTTTTGTTAGAATTTAATTTCAGACAATTCCCTTTGCTAGTGACATTCCTGGAGGTGTTTTTCCGGGTAAAGCCATACTTGTGAAAGGCGTTGTTTTGAACTTGGCAAATGATCAACGTTTTTCAATTGATTTGTGTTGTGGCAAATTGGTGCAGGGTGAACATAGAGACGATAAGGTTTGTTTTAGATTAAGAAAATTTTAAACATCGGGCAGCAGTAATGGAAAGGTTCCAGAACCGGAAATGGAACCGAAGAAATTCAAAAAGCGGTTCCAGCATCGGAACCGGTTCCAGAGAAATTTTGGAAGTTTTCCATTGCTGTCGGGCAAGCATCAAACCATTAGATTCTTGACATTTATGGCTAGGTGTGTCAGGTGTTCTACCGACTGAACTGCCATAACGATGACTTTGTTTTATCTCTTAAACTCACATCCGTGGGGGCTTTCATCGGAACTGTCGGTTCCGATGAAAGTTCCAGGGGTTTGTTTTGGGTTCCGGGGTCGGAACTTTGGATCCGGTTCTGGTAAAAATTTCGGTTCCGGTGAAACCCACATTCATGGGGAGTTTCCTCCACCACGTTATGTACGTGGTGGACGAAAGCACCTAGAAATAACCGCCATAAGGACCCAGTATCGTTGCCTGCTCGTTTTTGTTTCCCGTTAACTTTATTAAATTTTCAGGCTTTACATATAAATCCAAGATTTGATCGTGGAATGGCACTGTATAAATTTATTTAAAATTTATTTTAAATTTTTCTTTCAGATTTTCAAAGCCTGACAGAGATATTGTAATTAATTCTTTAATTAATAATGTTTGGGGGACAGAGCAGAGAAATCAAAACAATCTTGTCTTTGAAAAATCTTTTTCTATTAGAATATTAATTTTGAGAGATTATTTTAAGGTTTTTTTCTTTTTAATTTTTTAAATTGGGTTAACTAGAAGGGGCCCGTTTTTTTTTTAAATGAGGGAATAGAGGTTAGATGTGAGTTCCAAAAAAATCGGTTAACCTTTTGGTCGAGCACTAGGCTTGATAGAAAATCAGACTATATGAAAGGAATGCGGCACTCGAAATTTTTCTTACTCCTCATAATGGTGAGTAGTCCTTTCGTTGGTGAGTAAGAAATGGGAATTTTTCATATAGAGCCGAAAATCACACAAAAATGGAGAAAGTGATAAATCTCACTAAATTCACAATCAACCAACTAACTGACTTTCTATTTAACTCCATCTTCC